GAGTCACAGTAACACCTGCCGATTTTATCACACCGTGACTATGGTTGCAAAGCAGAAGCACGCCACACTGGAGCGATACTATCATGTACCGATAGCTGCATCATTTCGGCATACACCGAGAGTGAAATAAACGCTTTAGAGCCGCTTTGCGATCTGGATTCCACAAGTCACAGCTGCTCAGTATTAGGCTGTGCTTAGATTGGCAGGGTTAGAATAACCGTACATGGCCTGCTGACTTTGGCATGACTTCCGAAGAAGACTACACCCATTTCGTGCACTATGTAAGGAAGACGCATCATACCGTCTGTCTTATCGCTTTGCAAGCCAAAATCATGAGAGCAGTTGATTAATCAGAGTATTGTATGATGCATGTCTCTACGCAGCTTAACGTACGACGCGGGCTTCGAGATGCCAAGTCATCTTCTCTCTTCTTGGTGATAACCGCTACGCTCGATCTATGGGATTGCTGTTGCATGTACCAATCATTTATCATATTTACAGCAAAATGGGCTTCCAATCACGAGTGAGAAGTGCGTTGTGACGGGCGACCGTTCCACCATTACAGTGGAGACAAAGGCCGAAGGTTTGCTAGGGCGTAAGTCATATTGTGTTCATGTCTACTTCTACATATACTGGTGTCAGCTCTGATGTATCCATCTGACCAGTAAGCGTTTCACGTGCAAGCATAAGACCCCTTGCTCTTCAAGCAGTGCCAGCTGGTGACAACCATTCCGCGACAAGATTTCTTCACATATCGACGCGGCCAGAATCTCTTCGAGTATCATGCTGCACCTAAAAACGAAATGGGTCACGTTTTGGCCGCGTACTCTAAATAAGTCTATCGCATTGTGTGGCTTGAGCGCCCCCTCAGAGGTTTAAGAACGTGTAGACACTTTTTAGCAGAGAGGATTTCTATTTTCAAAATTAGGTAATGACGCTGCGCCGTCTGATTAGAGCTCGTCGAATGAGACTGGCTTATGAAAGCGGGATTGTGAGATGGCTTCAGTTAGTTTACGCAAAGAACATGATGTTCTCACACGATATTCGTGATTCATAATGTATGTTTGATTTAATATTATTTCTTGCTAGGTCTGATCGCAACTGTTTCTTCACCGCAGATACTGATCTTCTAAATAAGTTTAGTACACTTTAAAAAAGCTTTACCCCCACCAAGCATTTATGTGCATTTTGCCTGCTTCTGGTCTCGACAAATTGCTCTTGATCACTCTGACTTTCAGCCATAGTGTCGTTCGTTTGGCACATGACGCTCAAACTTGCTAACATACCATATATCTGAATTGAGATCGACGCCAAACTGTACCGACAATTCAGTTCCCACCAAGACTGGGTATGCCTCGTGGTGGGGTAAAGGAAACGCGAGAGCTTGCCAAACACTTTAGAAAATGGGTTGAAGCATGTACAGGAAATCATCGCAATATCCAGCGCAAACTCAATGAAGGAGAGTAACTCGCTCCAGCACATCTGGCTGTCTTCGCAGTTGCTTTGAAGGATATACTCCACTTTGCGATGTTTGCTTTCCATTTACCTGTAACGAGAATTGTCCGTTCGTATTCACGCACTAATTGAGGAGGACTCAAATCGGTTAACAAGCTTCACCGCGTGTTGCTTACTTCCAGAACCCCGTTATTTACGCAAACGAGAAGAAAAAGGTGAAGTGACATTTATCATGGCCAATAGGCGTCAAATCTTACCTAAACTGATAAGTGCCCCAGTTCTGATATAACAGAATTGAAGGATATACAACCATACAATATATATTCGATGCTAAGCACACCCAGAAATATGTGGTTCACGCAATATGTGTAAGGGAACTGAACCCATTACACTACTCATCTGTGTGCGAGTGGTCAGCTATTAATATATCTAATTTAGTCCTTGAGACCTTAAAAAATTATCTGCGGGAAGTCGATGGTCTCTATCCGGCACAAGGGCTTCTGGTATGCCATGTCGGCAAAACACTTTGTCGAGTTGTACACTGACTGGCGGAATCGCTCGAAATGTAACAGGGTTACACGTACCCTTGTATGAAAGGGCGGACCACACAAAATGGTGTGACCGTACATAGGTGTAAATTACACAAGTTGGCGTAATCACACAATGGTGTGGCTACACCGTAACAAGAAGCCACAACATGGCAGGACTGCCAGTAGTGATACAAATTACATAGTTTTGCTACATTAATTAGGTAATACTATAATAATTAGGAAAACCTAGTGTTTTAAATATTGGCGGCTCTGCCGCAACGATAACAAGTATAAACACTTTCAATTTCTGTCGGAAGAGCGTCTTTACTTTGGTTACGGTCTTCAGTACTCCTGGACGTAGCAGATTTGCGATCCGTTACACACGTACCGCTTTTTGTAAGGAATGTAAGGTCGGTGGCCTTAGCTCAGCTTTCTAAAAGCAAAGAGCTACGGCAGCCCCGCCGCACTTGGTAGCACTCGTACCCAATCTACGCCTGAGTCGTTATGACTGATCCTCTGTGAGGGTGGAGCAATACTCCTATTTGCCCCAGAACATGCAGGACGAGCTTAGTGAACTGATGTCCCAGCTTGGCCCTGAGGGCGTGCGACACCTTGCCTCGCAAGGCCTGAATGCGATAAACGCGCGCCTAAAGGCGTTTTCAAATTATAAAAGTGTTCTGTTGGTGCACCTATAGCAGAAGATGTCAGCGCTGACTGCGTCTATGACGCCACTATCGAAGACGAATGAATTCTTCCGACCCAGACCGCTCATGATGAGCTTTAAGACCTTAAAGGGTAAGGACGGAGAAAACTTCCTGCGCTGGATAAGAGAGGCCAAGATGGCTATGGCATCCACCATGCTCCAGAACGAGCAGCAGCGCATGGCGTTAGCTATCTCGCACTCGGTTCCCGAGTGCGAGAATAGGCTCAAACATGCGGTGCTTCGGCTAAAGCTTTGTTCGCCTTCAGGAAGAAGCTGAAGCGTCAGCTTCTGTGAGTGTTATCGCCGCCTAATCACGCATATTACGAGTGATCGCATTTCCTTTCTGATCCTGTTCTGAGGCGGTCGCAGTGACCGTCTTTATGAAGGGCAGCCGCACTGGCGTAGACAGAATGAAAGTCTTCCGTGCGCATCGTCTTATTTTGAATAAGTCGGCACGGCACGGCTGATATGCACACCCTCAGAGCTTGTCGAGCGAGCATAAGCCAATGGGTCTCAGCTATTCTGAGAGGGAGGAGGGAGAGCTCTGACCTGCTGAGCAGCGTGTAAACGCCTAACGTTCTTTGTTTGTGGAGACATCCATCACCTTTAGACAGGTTGTTACTTGCGCAAGACGCTCAAAGGTTCGTCGAACTTACGTTCCGCTTCTAACCAGTCTGGTTTGACGTGGGGGAACGAGACTAACCAGTAGGAGCGAAGCGCCCTACCGAGGGAGACCTGAGCTCTGTTGAGCATCAAAGAGGTAGAGGGCAGCAGGGCCCAGCTCCCAAGAGCTCCGTGCCCCTGAACACGGACGTGTGTGCAAGCTGGGTTTGCTGGTCGTAAAAGCTACCGTGAAGGGTTTTGATAAGCCATAGAAAATCCTGATCGATTCCGAAGCGTCGGACAATTATGCTCGACGCTCCATGATTGAAAGAAGTCAGCTGCTTGCTGAGGCGTCGGAAAGCGACGGAGACTAGTCTCACTGTGCTGAGAGTCCCTGTGGACCTCGGTGTCAAGTTCCTTGACTATGATTGCGTGGAACGCTGTTTGTTCTTTGACTTAGATTCAATGTATGACGTTATCATCTGTATGGCATGAATGGAACTTCATGAGCCGTGAAGAAGCTTTGTTGAGTCATGAACCCACCTCTGCTACGAAGCAAAACGCGCTATTGGCGCGAGCACTGGACCGGGACGGTCAATGTGCTGGTTATCGGAGTATCCGAGCTGTCAAATACCAAAGGTGTTTTGGACAAGAGTCCCGAGCGTGGCTCGCGGGCTGACCGTGGAGTGGCACGTAACACACTGGCCGCTGTTCAAGTATTAGAGCAGTCGCTGCCAAGAGTGGCATGGCTAGCCAAGGGCTGAGACATCAAGGGCGAGGCCCTTCTGATCAACGTGGAGTGGCACGTATACCACTTAGCACTGCTCACGTTGTTAAGCAGTTGCTACATGCCAAGGATAGCATGATCGAGCGAGGTTTGAGGCATCAAGGGCAAGGCCCTTCTGATGAGCGTGAAGTGGCACGTAATTAACTGAGCACTGCTTACGTTTCGAAGCAGTTGCTGCATGCCAAGGATGGCAAGGCCGGACGAGGTATGAGGAATCCTATGCGAGGCCCTTCTGATGCGCGCGGAGTGGCACGTTATCCACTGGAAGAAGACTGCAAGATTTGCAGCTCTTCGTCGGATGTTGATGATAACATCAAGGCTCCGTGGGAGCAGGGAGTGCGGAACATTGGACAACGCCAAGTGCGTTTTCTTACTGGTCTTTATAAGACGTAAACGCTTTATGGAGAGGGGACGGCGAACCATATTTAGCTGTAAAACGCAGGGCGTCGACCATGACAGACGATAGCGCACCGATATGTACCCCTGCAAACGGTATGACGGGAGGGAAAGACGGCGGCGTCACCCTCGAGGCTATTCCCGCGGTGGATGCTCTCCTTGAGCTGGACGAGATGACTTTCGAAGAGTTTAGCGGTGCATTGAAGGCAGAAAATTTAACCGAGGTGGTCATTGTAATACCGAACGATGAGGTTAACTCAACTTCGCTTCGTGATAAAGCTGTCCTGGAGGACTCTAGGAAATGCTGAACGCTCGAAACGAATCCTCAATCTTGAAAGATTTTTCGGATCCGTGTTATCCTTTGGTAAAGAAAATTCCAAGACGTCGTCGCCAAAGACCCGCCGTCGGTCTTACCTCCAAACCGAGGTGTGCGTCATGAGATCGACCTGGTTCCGGGAACCAAAATTGCATAACACGGCAATGGCTCCTGCACAAAGAGCAGTGTGACTTCATGGATGCCTTCTTCCGTACGAGCACGAGGCAGGAATGGTGCGTGGAAGCAAGTCTCCCCATTCGACAACCACATTTTGTGTCCGGAAGCTGAACGGCAA